CAGTCCTCTCGTCCGCCAGTATGCCTTCGTTCTCTAATCCCCGTCATGACAACTTGGCACGGTTTTATGACTAAAGCTATGAATAAAAATAGGACTACTCTTTCCACAGCGTGCAAGTTTGTCCAAAATTTCCCTGGCCTCATTCTTTGAAGTAGACAACCCTGAGTCTTAACCCAACACAGGCATCATGGTCTTTTTTAAGAATAACCGTATTGAAGTTAAGTGTGCTAACTTTAGCCTGTATCCACGGCAAGGTCTTATCTTTGCTTTGTTATTTGCTCTATCTTGCATGAACAAATTTCAATAGCAGGAGGAAAAATATGCGTCACAGAGTCTTCCTCAACATACTTCCTCTTGACTGACATAGAAGAAGGCCTTACTTTAAGAGGACTTACTGTTTACATATTTCACGTCCTGTCACCAACCAGCCTGAATTTGGGTTTTTAAAATCCCCAGTCTTCAACCGATTAGCTGTAACCAAGTGTCTAAAACAGGACCCAACAATATAGTACTCAATTCCAGAGGCCAATCCTAGACGATTTCGGATCCTGCCAATTAATTTGACTGCTTGGTGTTTCTGTTGTTAATATAGTCCAGCGAAATTCCATGTTTCAGTGTAGATTTTGGAAGCTTGCGCACTTTAGGACCAGTGAGAATCTTTCCCGTTTAGCGTTTTTTCGACCTTGACTCCTGCTGACCTAACACCCGATACATTTTAGGCTGTTCCCTCAACATCACGGATGCTGTTCTTGGCCAGATCACCTGGTGTTGGTCAGAGAAGGTCTTCCTGCCTTCCCTTCGTCATCGGTTTTGGAAGTTGACCTTGCAGTTACTGAACGCCTTCGTCTATGCCATCAAGTCCGCGCAACCTCCTGTAGACGATGTACGTATGTCATGTGGGCTATGCCATGTCTGTAACTTTTGTAAATAACTGCTACTGAAATACTGCCAATAGCTATTTATATTTATTTAAATTCGATTCAATTTATGGCCAACGTTTGACCTGTATTTGGCTGTGAATTCGTATAAGCGGATTTTTTAAAGTGTGTAATGAAGTACACTAGCCAACATTCTTTATCACGCATTGATAATCCCAGCCAGTCTTTATGCAGAAGGTTGTGGAAATTTGCGTGAATATCAACAAAGTCTCACGGTCATCCTATTCACAAGCCTCCCTGCTTTAAATTTCCCGCAGGCGCAAAATGACCTGCTGAGCATCAGGTCGCTGTTTGCCCTCCTCACAGACGGCCACTTGGTTTTGCGATGGATTTCCAGTGGAAATTTAGAAAAAATGGTTCTTCACAATTTCGCCCTCACTCCTGTCGGCCCGAAGACGGCTCGTCTCGCCGACTTGGTGAAGGTACAAAACACGCCTGTCTGGTTAACAGACTGCTTGGAGGACTGCAGTGAACGAATTCGTGCAGCTCTCGAATGCGTCAAAACGAACGTTTGCACCTCCTTCCAGGTACCATGTCCAGTTCTAGTATTAAAGCGAATGCTTCTCTGTCCTTCTTTAATATAAAAACTGACCATTATAACCCAATTCAGTGGGCCATTTTGTTTCCTAAACCGACTAAAGAGGCCGCTCTTTATGTAGTTGCTAGCATTCTTCTGTTAACTAGTCCTTCTAAAAACGGGTATGTCGGCAGACGGCGTTAGTTAAAAAATTTTATCCCATAAGTTAAACTCGCCTTCTTCTCTATTCTTTTGCTTAAACAAAGTGTCACCTGTGTTAACGTGTTTCAATCCACTGATCTTTTCAATAGGAATCAATGAAGGTTCTTATTCGGCAAGTCCAGGACCTCCCACGTAAGTATCGTCGAACAAGCCGTGACTGGCCAACGTCACCGTCCACGTACATGTTGTCAATGAACAAGAAGCTGTCAAGTCTGGCAGAGGAAGTAACAACTGCCCTTACCCGTTCTGGCTCAGTCTCCTCGGCAGATCTCGAGGGTGAACTCAAAGTACTGTTCGATGATCTTGTCCTCAAGACTACACAAATGTACGCCAAGTTCATTTTTGAGCATTTTCTGCTTTTTGGAGTTCGCAGGAAACAGTTACTTATTTTGCCTATTTACTCAAGTTTGCCTGCATCCTTCCTGTACTGATTACCACCCGGCTTCTTTTTGAACGCGGATCTCCACACCAAGTGTCGAC